TTCAGTTGATCGATCGATCGATTCTGTTCGAAATACTTGCGCGGAAAGGTGTTCCCACGAAATATGTGAACATCCTTCGTGCTCTATACTTGAACACTACAGGCCGCGTCAGGGTATACGGGGTCCTATCGGATAATTTTCCGACCACAAGTGGCATTCGTCATGGTTGTCCGATGTTCCCATTTTGATTCAATTTCGTCGTGGATTCTAGCATGGAGTGTTCCCTTGCGGAATCTCACGATGTAGGCTATGAAGTGCTGCCTGGTAAAAGATTAGTTGATCTTGATTATGCGGACGATATCGTCTTGCTTTTTGACGATGTTGCGGTCGCACAATCAACTCTGAATAGCCTATCCACAGTGGTCCCATTACTTGGTATGCACTTCGCAACTTCAAAGCGCAAAGTGTTGCTGCAGGACCACCAACCACTTGATGACCCCTTGACCCTTGCTAACGAGGCACTCGTGGTTGATCAAACCACTTATCTTCGCAGCTGTATCAGCAACGATGGGTGCATAGAAACTGACGTCAGCTCACGCACTGGAAAAGCCAGAGCTGCCTTCTTGAACCTGAGGCATGTTTGGCGACAGAAGGGAGTTTCCCTTCGTCTGAAAGTCCGTGTATACAAGGCCATTGTGAGGGCCGTTCTGCTCTATGGTAGTGAAACTTGGTCCCTTCGGTCTGAAGATCTGAAGCGTCTTCAAGTCTTTGATCATCGTCGTCTGCGCACCATTGCTGGTGTCGCATGGCATCAGCGTGTCCGCAATGATGATGTGCGTAGGCGAGTACTAGGTAGTGATAATCATGCTAGCTCGCTAGAACAACAGATAGCACTGAATAAGTTGCGTTGGCTCGGGCACGTGCTACATATGCCTGGTCACCGCTTACCTAAGAGGGCCTTGTATAGTCTACCAGGTGTATGGTGGCACAAGGTTCGAGGTGGACAGAAGTTGACTTGGCAGCGGGAAATGAAGTCACTGACGACCAAAGTGGGTGCCGCTGGTCCGTCTCGCTTTCCGGGCTGGAGTCCACGTCGCTCGCCTTGTACTTGGCACGAGAGTTTACAGGACATGGTTCGCAACCAACACCAGTGGCACGTCTGCTGCCGTCTTCCAATCGGATTGTCTGTTTAAAGTATTAATCGTGACTTCTACTTTCTACAAACTTTACCCTACTCACAAACTTCCAACATTAATCTAGCATCGCCCCTTGGACATTTGAAGGACAGGTACTTCGGTCCATTGGTAAGTGACGTGTGAGTGAGCCAATCTGCAACATCAGGACAGGTACTGTGAGCCCATTGGCAATACGTCACACACCAAGCAGAAGTCATGTGTTAAAATTTGCACACCTAATCGTCAGCGCTCGGTAGCTCAGGTGGTAGAGCAGCAGACCGGAAATTCGTGGACCGGGGTTCGACTTCCCGTCGAGGCATATTATTGTGCGTGAATTTTAATCGTGAGTTCTACTTTCTACAAATGTTTAAAGTATGTTTGGTGATAAGTTATTTGCGGGGTAATGGCTGATTATGACGCGTGACAGTGAAAGCCACAAGGAAGCTGTCTCGCCGACGCCGCCTTATCTTTGCACGATAGCCAGCTGTTTGTGACGGTATGTTGTCTACACAAGGTGTAGGCGCCTTGACCCTGAATGTTTGCTTACGGCATCAAGGTTTTTAGGTAAGTCCTCCTTCTCTCTTATTATTCTTTATTTCATAGGTCCTCATGGTTGTATAGCAGCGAAGCATGAGTTTAAATGGCTGATGTACTGCTGTTGATGATGATGTCCCACCCCTCCCGGTTAGCCCCCACTTCCAAACACGATCACAATTATTAGGGATAATATGACTACTTCGCGGCACAACAGCCGGCAGTTAGCTTTCCGAAACGATGTCCATCCGTCACTCGTAACTCAAGCGGCGTGCCTCTGCTTCATTTTTCTTGTTGCGTTTGCATTACGGTACAATAGCTGTGTTTTCCACCGGCAGCTAACGTGTACAATGATGAAGAATAGTCACGAACCACCAAAGGATAGCCTTGGTTAGCTTGCTCAGTTCAGGAAAAGCAGCTACTGACTGCAGGCAGGAATCTAAGTCACTGAGCAGGGAGCTGATCCTGATGGTCTACACAATGTGCTGAGATGCACGATGACTAACGCGTCCAACAAGCCCCCGGCGGTGCAGTTGTTGGCTGCAATCTCAAACTGAGCTTCCGGGTTGTGGCGTGTGGTGTTGACATACCCTCATACAATAATGATGCACTGAAGGGGAAAAGTTAAGTAAGTCGACTTGCTGAGGTCGCCTTGTTATCGCAAGTTAAAGAAGCTTTCGTTATTGCGAAAGTGTGTAATGTTATGTACTTCATACTTATTCATCTCATTGCTCATCATTACACGGTTAAGTGGCAGTTAAACTACAGCAAAAAGTACTGATGTTAGCGTTCGGCTGTTTTCCGACCTGAGTACTTTGACTGCAAATGTTTTGTCGCCAGGTTAGGTGACATCATCAGTGCCTAGCCTGGCGAAGACGCAAAGAGCATCCAAATCATGACTCACAGAGCATTAAAAAATTATAAATCGTCCGGCGATTGATAAATCTAAGTACGAAATGTGCTTCGCCCTGGCGAAGTGTAAAGTGCTGCTTCAGGATTGGCACTAACCCGTTCTCGGGCTCACTCTTGAAGGTACACAGCTTGAACAGGTGAACAGCTTTGTCTAGCTGGACAGCTGCGTGTCTGCTGGTTGAACTTTTGAGAAGGAAGTTCCCTTCCGCATCGTCAAACCACGGTCTACGTTTGTCAACCTGAAACACTTGTGGCATTGTCAGGATGTATCCCACTTGGTTAAGGGTCGTGTTCACAATGCCACAATTCGGGCGGTGTTGCTATACGGCGGCGAGTCATGGCCAGTTCGCGTAGATGACATGCGTCGGCTCCCGACCTTCGATAAGAATTGCTTGAGGAGAATTGCTCGTGTGTGGTGGAAACAGCGTATCTGCGACGGCGAAGTCAGACGTCGTGTCTTGGGGAGTGCGAATATTCTCTTCAATAATCTGGTTTTTTCCTGCGCAAGTTAAGATGACTTAAGCACGTATGTCAGCTGAGGGATTGAACCACTGCGCATATTTCCCTCGTGAAAGACTTGGCTGGAAGAAATTACGTGGAGATCAGTCATCTACATGGCAGCAGCATATGATATCGTTGACTGTACGTCTTGCTGCCGTTGTATCCACATGCGCGCCTGGTTGGGGACCAAAGAACGATGCCGATAGCTAGAACAGTCTTAGGTTTTGGTGCGCAGTGGAGGACAGTGGAAGATTTATGTACATACTTGTTTAGATTCAGACGCTTAATCCCAAGCAATTGAATAAAATGGCGTGCGTAAAATAGCAAAAAACGTTATTTATTTTATTGCGGTTCGATAACCCAAGTGTGTTGCTCGCCTTCAGCTAATGTGCCATGATGATCATGTGCCGTTTCAACTTGTCATCTTCTTTTGATTTCCACGGTTTTAAAACAGTTAGTCCCCTTCAGTAGTTTGAACAACGAAATGAGAAGACGAATATTGACAGATGCTAGCATTTCGTATTATCTCATCAGTACCAATACAATAACAGGGAAATCCTTTTATATGTTTTACAGGGCACAGTCAAGCCAATAAAATTTATAGTTGTGGTAATTGTTGATGGGATTAGGTCCACGGCAACCGCAAGTTGACAACTAATTGCTTTTGGACACACAAAGCTGGTCTAATTCGGCTTATCGCGACGGCCTCGGCAAATCGTAAAAGGCGTAACAAGATCCGGAACGCTGATAAGGGATTAACCCGGTGATGAGTCGCCAACATGTGCCTGCCTATGGAGGACGCTGGCGGCTTACGCGAGCACGTATCATCGGAGGTGGATTGAGTAACTTCGCGCTGAACCCAGTTTGGTAAGTGTTCATTCACTCTGGAATCTAAAACCCCTTTCGATCCTATGGATGTAACTGACACCACAGTCACACACGAATTGGTAGACACAATGTGATTTGGCGCCGACGGGTTCATCTTCCTTTACTAAAGGTAACGGCATCTTTCGGGTTCTGTTGATTATTACCGCCTCCGCAGCACAGTATGTACGCTGAATGGCCCAGACAATGCGTTTGGTTATCCTTCTCGCTGCGGTGTCACCCTTGAATGGTAGCTCAATGTACACCTTCTTCTTAGGGGCTGTCAACACCATCTCCTTGGGCGGTCTAACTTGGCTATGTTTGTCTATGAATCGCTTTGGGTAGCCATTCTCCATAAGTGTTTTAGTGATCAGCTCAAACTCCTCAGACAGGAAATCGTTGGAGTAGATACGTCTGGCCCGAGTGAATGTTTTTACTAGCGCACGCTTGTGTGCCATCGGTGAGAAGCTAGTGAAGTGTAGGTATTGGCCGGACCACGTCGGTTTCCGGTATACAGATCGCTTAATCAGTCCAGTGCGACTCATGAGAATGTCTAGATACGGGAGACGACCATTCGATTCGAATTCATAAGTCACCTTCAGGATGGCGTGAACATTATTAAGTTGGTCTACTAGCTGTTCGATTTGCATCTTCGTGGAACCAAAAACAAGGATATCATCTACATATCGTTTATAATACGGCAGCTGAGAAATCTGTCCACTTAGTTTCCTCTCAAGCATCAGCATGAAAAAATCAGCCAGTACCGGGCCCAACGGACTACTCATAGCTACTCCGTCAATTTGGCGATATGTGGTGTGCTGAAATCGGAAAGTGACATTCTCCGTGCAAAGTAACAGGGACTGTCTCAGGAGGTCGGCCGGTATTGGTATTGGAACAATCAAGAACCATGGAACTCAAAGTTACAGCTGTCGTTAATAAACAACCCAACATATACTTATATATAGAAAAACAAGCAGTCCATGGTTGTGCGAACAATGAAGGCAAATCACTCCTGCAGTTCTTTCATGAAACCGACAGTAACTACAGATTAAAAATGAAAAAGAACCTATCGTTTCATTTTGTATTTACTTCAAGTACGTGTGCAACATCGGAGTCACAGAGCTCTTTCATGCGTTCAATTAAAGCAGCCATAGGAGAACATCGAGCCAGGATGGGTTTGCATGGTGAAAACACCTCAAAGTCAGCGAGCACAGTCCAATAACCAAATATAAGGGCATCCAAACAACCAGGAGAACTGTGCTCGAAGAAAAAAGGTCCATGACCAAGTAATTGGGTCAGCGCGAAGCAAACGCCATCTAGATCTTCCAAAACATCAGTTAACATTTTACGACTCCACCCCATCGACTCAAAAAATAGTTTATAGTGAGCTTTCCACTTTCTGGAAATGTATAAAGAAAGTGGCCAAGGTAGTGAACGCTTCATGCGAGGTAAGGTGAAGGTCTGGTAGGTAGATTCATGAATCCAAGTGAAATAAAGCATGATGTTACGCAGTATGTCAGATAACCACACTAGATAGACACGCCTTGAACTTCTTACGCTAGCAGCTTCAACATGTGTTCCAGTGAAAGCCGAGTTAGCTTCGAGTGCGTTACACAAAGCATCGTACCCTTGAATCAGATGCCCATTAAGCCTGACAACAGGAAGAAGTCCATCGGATGAGCAAAACTCCGCGTTCAAAGTACGCTCCACAGCAAAGTTTGATTTGGTAAGAAGTAACCAACAAACACTGGCACGCGTAGCCGCTTCATCGGCCGGGAGAATAAAATCGGTTTTCTTTGAAAGCAAAAGCATTCCAGCCATTGAAAAAAACACCAATTCAGATGTCAGAAAATCTGAAACTGAGTGTAAAAGGGGAGTGAATTGCTATTCAAGTACTAGTCACAAGTGGTGACACGTAAGAGGCTACCAAGTGCGAGAACACGGGGAACAGTGAGAGCAGCTGGACTCAACATGTATGGAGAATAACTATGAAACAGCAGAGTGCAGCGTATAAGCACGACTTACAGGAAAATAGCAAGTGATCGGAAGTCGCGATCAGTCAAACAAATGAACATTTACGATATAAAAATCAATAAGATCCTAAATAAAATAATGAGTGCACCTTTCAGGTTCACTACGTGAGCCTTCTACTTGGAGGTAGAATCAGGGAAGGCCCCGATAAAACTATCAGATGGGTAGACAAGAAGTAAGGAATTGTAAGCAGAGTATCGAGTGGAGTGGAGGCATGTGAGGCTATTGGTTAGTTATTAGTTAGAATTATCTGATTGTGGAGTGTATCACTGGTGTGGATCGGCGCTGGTTTGTTGGACTGCAAAAAGCAGGATAGTCCCGAAGAAAGCAGACAGGACATTTCCCAAACGGGTATTACGACGGTCTGCATGAGAGCTGTCACTACCTCAACGCGCCCCAGTCCATAGCCAAAACGATCATCGTCACAAGGAGAATTACGAACGTTGTTGTCCGAAAAACGTCGCCAAGTGCTCGTTGATCATATTAGCTGTAGTTATCACCTGTACAAAATGAAATGGCAATCACTTAAAGCCAAGGTGAGGAGATCTGTAGTGGTCGAAAAATACTAGGAAGGTTGCAACCCCTTAGTAAAAGGCAAAAAGTTGGAAAGGGTCAACTCACAGTCTAATCACGGTCGAGTTCGAGTCGTAGGTTGCGCTATACCTGTAGCACACGACGAGCACAATGGAAATAGACGTTCGATAATAATTCCGAATATACTATCCGATTTGCAAGCAGACTGGACGGCACCGTACGCACGCAGAAGCAGCACAGCCAGAAATCAGCACGACGGAACGCGGGGCGCGAAGAAGTGTATTGTAATCATTAATTCAAACAAACTGTACAAAAGATGTCATGATAAAATGGATGACAAGAAAGACAAAATGCAAAAGATTAATAACCACTACATAACTCCCCCCGTAGAGCGTGAACTGGTAAGGTAACGCTCGATATAGCTATCTAGGGAACAAACTCAGCTAGTTTGGAGGGGAAAGACACAGAACGTCCTGAACGTGTGTGTTTGGGATCATTCGTTGGGCGAGCGCATGAAGGTTCTGGAGCATTGGAAGCGGTCGGTTGACCAACAGGGGGTAACGACTTGGGATCAGTCAAAGTAACGGCAGGCTCAACATAAGCGGGTTTAAGACGGTCAATACTCACAGATTCTTTCGATCCATTCCTTTCCAGTATGAAGTATTTAGGTTTCCGTGACAACACTTTGAAAGGACCTTCATAAGGGGGTGTCAACGGCTTGCGAACTGCATCAATGCGAATGAAAACAAAAGGACAAGTGTGTAAGTCCGGATGAATTCGTTGTTCGCGGGCAGTGAAGCGAGTAGACGTAGGTCGAACTGTTCGGAAGTGTTGTTTGAGACGTTCGGCGTAGGACACAGGATCTATCTCACCAGTGACTCGGGAATCCAAAATCATCTCACCTGGAAGTCTGAGAGTGGTGCCAAAGACGAGTTCGGCAGGGCTGCATCCAATATCCTCTTTGACGGTATTACGGATACCAAGAAGGACAGCTGGGATGCGTTCAGACCAATGTGGATCAGGTGAATTAGCTGTGATGGCGGCTTTAAGCTGTCGATGGAAACGCTCGACAAGGCCATTCGAAGCGGGATGATAAGCAGTTGTTCGAATGTGGGTACAACCCAACAGACGATTCAAGTCACGGAACAAGGTGGAACTAAACTGAGATCCTCGATCTGTAGTGATCGTAGATGGTACACCGAAAAAGGAAATCCATGAATCGAAAAATGCACGGGCGACAGATTCTGAAGATATGTCACGTAAAGGAATGGCGTGCGGCCAACGAGTAAAACGATCAACACAAGTCAAAATGAAAGTGAAATTGTTCGATGGAGGAAGCGGTCCGACTATGTCTAGGTGGACATGTCTAAAACGTGCCTCAGGTAGTGAGAATGTTCCGGGGGCAGAAATAGTGTGTCTGTGTACTTTGCTGCTCTGGCAGCTGAGACAGTGTTTAGCCCATTGACGGATATCAGAGCGCATACTAGGCCAGATGAAACGATCAGTAATCAACTTCACAGTGGATCGAATGCTAGGATGCGATAGTCCATGAAAATGGTCAAAGACGGTTCGCCGGAAAGACTGTGGAACAAACGGTCTTGGCTTACCGGTGGAGACATCGCAGTGAATCCTTGCGTCTGAGTTTAAAATTGGTAATTGCAAGAATTTCAATGTGGTATTCGATCGAAGCTGAGCGAGTTCAGGATCGTTGTTCTGAGCAACAGACATTTCCTCAAGGTCTATTGGTGAGGACGATAGTTGATGTATGTGAGCACGTGAAAGTGCATCAGCGACAACATTATTTGGACCATCGAGGTAGCGAATGTCGACACAAAATTGTGAGAGGTAATCCAGATGTCGTGTCTCTCTCGGAGAATAGCGATCGGAAGCGGCACGAAATGCGTAGATCAAAGGCTTGTGGTCCGTCAGAATTACAAAACGTCGTCCTTCAAGGACGTGACGAAAGTGTTTGACGGCCAAGTACATCGCGAGAAGTTCGCGACCGAAAGTACTATACCTCGTTTGTGCTGGTTGTAGCTTCCGAGAAAAGAAAGACAACGGCTGAATCTCATTGCCAATTAGTTGTTGAAGTACAGCGCCGACAGCGGATTGTGAGGCATCAGTCTTGAGAACGAGAGTGGCTTTCTCGTCGGTGTCCAAGTAGCTCAGGGAAGTTACCTGGCTTAACTTCTGCTTGATGGCAACAAACGCTGTTTCGGCTTCTGGCGTAATGATGAACTTCTTTGGATTACCTTTAAGTAAATCAGTCAAAGGCTGAAGAACAGCAGCACAATTGTCAATGAATCTTCCGTAATAATTAACCATGCCAAGGAATCGGCGCAGGTTTTTAACGGATTGGGGCAGTGGATAGTCCATGATTGCCTGGGTTTTCTCAGGGATGGGACTAATGCCTTTGCTATCGATTTTGTGACCAAGAAAATCGACGGAAGATTGACCAAATAGGCATTTATCAGGATTAATGGTTATCCCGTGATGGTCGAAGCGTTCAAATACTTGTCGGAGGTGATTCAAGTGCTCTTCTGGCGTGGCACTGGCTATGAGAACATCGTCAATGTAGACAAAAACAAAGTCTAGACCACGGAGGACCTGGTCCATGAAGCGCTGAAAGGACTGTGCCGCATTGCGAAGGCCAAAAGGCATACGAATAAACTCGTACAAACCGAAAGGTGTGATAACGGCAGTTTTAGCAATGTCCTCAGATGCCATTGGAATTTGATGGTACGCTCGTACAAGGTCAATCTTGGAAAAGACTGATTTCCCGGACAATCCCAGTGAAAAATCATGAATATGAGGGATAGGGTATCTGTCGGGAATAGTAACGGCGTTGAGTGCCCGGTAATCACCGCATGGACGCCAATCACCGGACTTTTTGGGTACAAGATGAAGCGGAGAAGCCCAACAACTGTTGGACGGGCGAATGATTCCGAGGTTGAGCATGTGCTCGAATTCGCGTTTAGCCGCTTGGAGCTTGTCAGGTGGAAGACGTCTCGGTTTGGCTGACACGGGTGGACCTGTGGTGACGATATGATGACGAACCTCGTGTTTAGGCTCGGTGGAGTCGGTATTAGAACGGATCAAAGACGGAAATTGCTGAAGCAATGAGGAATACGGCGTAGAGTCTGGCATGAGTACGCGAAGTCCAACGGAAGTGACTGGGGCGAGATGGCAAGGGACAGTGAGCGAAGTGCTGTCGTCCCGTAACTTCCTGCAACGTAGGTCGACAACGAGGCCGAATTTGCTAAGGAAGTCGATGCCAAGTATGGGTTTCTGGACATCAGCGATGGTAAAGATAAAAGGAAAGTCGCGTCGTAAACCAAGGCTTAGGTGTAACAGCTTTTGGCCGTATGTCGCGATCTTGGTCTGGTTAGCCGCCTGTAACGTAAGTCCGGCTTGTTGCAGAGGGCGTTTTTCCAACGAACGTGGTATAACGCTGATTTCTGCGCCCGTATCGACCAAAAAATGGAGTTTAGTCGTGGAGTCGAACACGTACAGAAGGCGACTGAGGATTTGGCCAGCGACAGCCGTCGCCATTACTGGCTGGCTTTGGCGTTTCCCGGTTGCGAAATCGAAGTTCCTTTCGGATATTTGCATCCTGGGCGACAGTTACGTGCTGATTTACCGAAGCGACGGTGGAAATAACAGTACGACCGCTGACGTGAGCGTGATGTGCTGCGGCGCGGATCACGAGGACTTCTTCGGCTGGTAGTGCGTTCACGTCGAATAGCAGACATGCTGAGTTCTAGACGGGATATTCTATCATTTATCGAATCAAGCGTAGTGCTAGGGGATGAGCTGGCTGTGGTGGACTCAGTTAGATGATTAAGAGTACTCTTAAAGAAACATTCGTGCGTTTTGTCCGCAGCTTCTGCGAGCTTCTCCAGCGTGATATCGTCGCTAAGAACTGATAATATCGCTGTGATGTTTGCCGGAAGACATTTGGTCCAAAGTTGGCGGAGTATGGAATCGTCGAGTTTCGACGAACCAACTAGGGAACGCATGTGCCTTAGAAGCTGGGATGGGGTGCGATCGCCAAGCTCGACGCCGGAAAGTAACTGTTGCAGACGAGCTTCATCAGACGCAGTTGTGCGTTTAAGGATAGCTGCTTTAAGTTTATCATACGGCGATTCAACAGGCATAGGGTCAAGAATATCAATGACTTCAGATGCAATGGAGACAGGTAAGCGCGAGACGACGTAAGAGAACATGGAAGACTGTGAAGTGATCTTACGACATCG